CGCTCGATGGCCGGATGTCGCGTGGCATCTCCCCTGGCACGGGAGCCCACCCTCCCACCCCGCAGCCAGACTCCTCCCTAGCTGAGCAGCCCAGCCTGGGCTCAGCTGTGGGGAGCATTCGAGGGCGGGGTCCTCTCCGCAGCCGCGAGGCTGGGCACTACTTCCAGCCTGCCCCCGAACCCAGCCTGGGCTGGGCTGGCCTTCCCTGTCTCCAGCAGTCCGTCACAGTTTCCCACCCGTGATGTTGCCCAGCCCGAGGTGGGCGCCCCATAGTGCGGTGGGTCTGCAGAGGCAGTTTCTCACCCCCTCTCTCGCCCCCCAGGTGGGAAACATCGTCTCCGCAAAAGTCGCGGGGAGCTACAAGCAAATGCCGGGTTATTTCAACTTTCTCCGGAAAAAGTTTTTCTTCAAGGTCTGATGAATGTTTGCCGGCTTCCCACCCTCATGTCGGCAGCTGCCAGAGCCCCCCCCCAGGCCATCCCAGACTGGGCAGACCAACGTTTTGGGGGGCTGGAAGTGGGAGGGTTTTGAGAGACAACCAGCACTTGGGACTGTTCTCCGTGGGGAGATGTTTAAGGCCACCTGTTGCCTATTAAAGAGACATCCCGGTGCTAAAGATTTGGGGTATTTCAGGTCCTCCCTTCCACCAAAAAGTAGAGAAGGCCTGTGTGTCCCCCAGACCTAAAATGATCTCCCCCCCCCCCCCCGTGGTAACGTCTAATCTTGGCCCTTTGGGGTTTCATGGAAACCTGGTCTTGGTCTTTTCTCGCTTGTTGATCTGCAGTGGAACAAACCAATTTGAATCACATTTACATTTTTTTCATTTCTCTTTTTCCTCCCTCCATTCCCATTTTAAGAGACCCACCCACAGAATTACTACAATAAGAAGGTGCTCTTACAAATTTCTATTTTTTTTTTTGAGCCACAGGCATTACATCTTAAATAAATTAAAAAAAAAACTTTGAGGGATAAACACAATTGCTTGTCATCCTTTTGCATCATTAAATATTTAAATTTCTGAGCCGCGTGCCTGTTTCTTCTTTCACTATTCTCCAAGGAAGGCCTGGACAAGCCGGGCAGCGTTTCATTCACAATGGAGAGGTACCAAATTGGAGATGACTTTAGCCCCCTCGTGACAGTTTCTTGCTGGCATTTTCTCTTTCTTTGAAGAAATTTGACCTGTTTGCGAGCCCGGCTTTCACCGTGGCTGTTTCCCATGAAAGAAATTCCCGGGGAAAAGGCCCACGAGGGGAGCCTCAGCTGGGAGATCATTCGCACCGGGCGTCTGCTTTGCTGGACATCCCTTTTCCCTACTGAGTGAGGAAATGTTACGGAATAGCAGCAAAATATTGCCCGCTGAATGCGGGACCAGTTCCCACGCTTGTTTCTGAAAGGGGAGCCACTCCAGCCAGCAGGCCTGGAAAAGCCACGTAGACCAGACGGGGGACACGGAGGCAGCCCTTCCTCAACCCCGGCTGGCCAATTCCCAAATGGCTGAAAATAATTCGGCATCAGACTCGGAACAGGAGCTGCCCCTCCTTCCAATTCCCCCGACGGGGCTGCTGGCACTGAAAGGGAAAAGCCGCTTTCCCGTATCCGGATGAGCTGGGAACATCTAGGCCAGCCGCAGCTGGAGCAAGTCCCTTTGGGCAGCAATACCCAACCCGGCCACAGGGGGGCAGCACCCGCTGATAGAGCATCCCGTAAAGTCTGAATTTTCTCCCTTGCATCCCCGGTCAGTCAGGCCTGGAGGCCCTATTTTCTCCTTTATACCTCCAGTGTGCAGTTCAGCCACCAGGGGGCAGCACTCACTGACATGCCTGTACACCCCATCTTTGTGGTGCTAGAACCCAATTCAGCCACCAGGGGCAGCAGCCTGTGACTGGCCATATATGCCCTAAGTTCTCCTTTATGGGCCCAGTACCCCAATCAGCCACTGGGGGGCACCATCCACCAAGATATGCCCTATCCTTTGCCTCCATTTTGCCCCCACTGAGGCATCCCATCGATAGGGTCTCCTCCACTGTTTCTAGGCTCCAATTTGGCCCCCATTCACGGGGCAGCGTTCACTAATAAGTCCCATGTACACCAAATGTTCTCCTCTGTGGCTCCAGAATCCAGTTTAGCCAAGCAGGGACAGCAGTTAAGTCATTTCTGCCTTATATGCCCTATTTGCCCCCCATGGCGCCAGTCCCCAAATCAGCCATGGGGAGGGAGCAGTCATATCCCTGATACTGTACATCCTATCTACTTCATTGTGGCTCCAATACTCATTTTTGCCACTGGGGGCAACAGTCACCAAGTACTGTATATCCCACGTACAGGCTACGTTCTCCTTTGTGGCATCAGTACCCACTTCAGCCGCTAGAGGGCAGCGCTGATGATATATCAGACATAGGACCCAACTTCTCCCTTGTGGTGCCAGCACCCAATTCAGCCACCAGGTGGCAGCAGTCACCAATATAACCGTACACACCCCAATTCTCCTGTGTGCCCAGGTTGGCCACCAGAGGGCAGCACTAACCGATCTATCCCATAGATAATGGAGCGGGATGTGAAGAAATCCCAGGGTTTGGGGGCAGGAAACGCTACACACACAAGGTCCTTTGGGGTGAGAAAACGTTTATTGTGCTGTTCACAACACGGCCCAGCTGGGTCCTCAGTTCTGGTTCATTTTCTATTTGGAGGGGAAAAAGACAAAGCAGAGAGGGTTTTGGTCCTGGGATCGAAGGAGTGTTTAACGAGTCAGCGGATTCTTCAAACTGGGGGCCCCCTTGGGTCCCTCCGGGGCCCTCGGCCGCAAGGAGGGGTCCCTGCCGCCCACTCACCGCGGTGATCCAGGAGATGTAGGCGGAGACACGGGTGAAGACAGTGGGCTTCTTGGCCGTGTTGCAGCCCAGGGCGGACCCGAAGCTGACGATGCCGTGCACTTGCCAGATGTTGTCGCTGCGGCAGTTCAAGGGGCCGCCAGAATCGCCCTGGGGACAGAGGGGGCACGCGGGACCCGGCGTCAGAGAAGGGGCAGCCGCCACCGCAAAGGTTGGCCGCAGTCAAGCTAGCCGCGGCTTAGCCCGTGGCGCCCGCCAGCTGTCCCTGGGCTCAAGCACCCCAGGGGGGCCAGGCTGGCCAGAGGAAGGAAACCTACGTTGCACCCCGAAATCACGCCGTCGCCCCCTGCGCAGACCATGTCAGGCTTCACCATGGAGCCCCACCAGTCCTTCTGGGTGCACGTCGCGTGGTCCACCACGGGCAGCAGGGCCTGCTGGAGGGTGTCCGCGATGGGGCCGTTGGCTGAAAACGAGAGAGAGAGGAGGGAGGCGGTTGGACCCCAGGACGGCAGCCTTGGGGGCCACCCCACGGGCCACTCCCCCGACTTACTCCAGAGGCGCCCCCATCCGGTGATGTAGCAGGGGAAGTCCTGGGGCAGGAGGGTCCCGGCGGCAGGGAGGCAGGACGGCTGGATGGTGTCGCTGAACTGGACCGGCTGCGCGAGCTTCAGCAGGGCGATGTCGTTGCTGGAAGAGGCCGGGAGCGTCGAGGTCCAACCGGGCGCTCCGGAAGGAGACTGAAATCCCCCGTGCGACCTGGGCCCAGGCCGCGGCCGCCCCACTCCTCACCAGCCCTCCGGACAGACTCACATGATGAGGAGGGAGTTCCACTTCTCGTGGACGATCGCCTTCTCCACCGCCACGGCCACCTCGCCGGCCTCCGCCTCTTTCAGCTTCTGGTTCCCGAGCAGGACACGGTAAGTGCGCTTGGAGCTAGGGAGGCGCGGAGGGAGGGAAGGAGGTGGGAGGGGGCAGGTTCCCCCGCCGTGCCTTTCCTAACATCTGTCCTTCCCAAATGTTGCCCTCTGAGAAGGCGAGGCCTCTGCTCTGTCCCCCCCTCCCCGACATCTCTAGAGGAACGCGGCAGATAAATGCTTCTCTCCACCTCGGGTGCAAAAACCTCGAGAAAGTGGAGGAAACGGGCAGTCCCTCTTCTCCCTCGCTTGGCAGGAAGAGAAACCAAACGGGGAATTTCTGTGCCACGTTTGCTCCACTTGCAAACGCAGCTGATAAACGGTGGCAGGCAAACGCCTTTCGGAAGCGGGGCGCCGCAGGTGTGTTTTGGGGGACGTGCGCACAGGGAGCGATAAGAGGCCTTGACTTTTCCGTAACGTCGCTTGGTTGACATGAGGAGGAGAAAAAGTCCTTCTCCAAAATCCTCCCTCCGTTCGGCGATGGGGGCCGGGAATCCTCTCTCCGGCGCAGGGCTTACCTGATGCAGTGAGCCGCCGTCAAGACCCAGCTTGCGTCAATGAGGGTCCCGCCGCAGGTGTGAGCCCAAGCCCCGTTCTTGCTGTACTGGAGGGAGACCTGAGAGCGACCCCAGGACAGGTCAGTTGCAGGAGGCAGACCGGCCCCCAGTTGTTGCTTTCAGCACCTCCTGCATTTCATTTCCCTCCATTTTGCACCGCAGCTCCGTTTGCAGTAATACTCCAGATAAAGCGCCACATCCTTTGCGCACACCGCCGAGGAAGCAGATAGGAGCCCCCCTTTCTGGGCGGAGACCCTCCCGCTCTGCGCAGAAGCGTTCGTCCTAACATTGTGCACCGCAAAGACCCTTTCCCCCACTTCCAGTGGCAAGGAGCCCCCCAGGCCGCCCGCCTACCGTTGGCCGTTCTTTGGCCCTTCCAGATGCGCAGCGAGCGAGGAACCCCAGCCTCTTACCTGCCAAGGCCAGCTGTGGGGCCTGGCATCTTCGCCCCCAACGACACGGGAAACGTTTGGCAAGTAGACGGGGCGGCCACAGCCACGGGCTGAGAAAAACAGAGGAGGTGAGCGCAGAAGGAAAGGGAGGATGGAAGGCCTGCAGCCTCCTCGATGGGCTGATTTACTGTCAATAATGGCCTACCGCCCCTCTCCCCAGCCTCGTCTGCCTTCAGCTTTTAGACCGAACGGATTAAATTGGTAGAATAAAAATCAAAAGCTCCTGCGCAGTTTGCAGAAACTCGTGTTCGTGTCTGGCTGCAATTACAGGGTTATGGACTCCAGTTGCATCCTCACAGAGCAAAGATCTCACCCTACAGGCGTGACCACATTTTTCTTCCAAAATCTGCCCTGCTCGACAGGTGAGTTTGAGGCATCGCCAAGCAGCAACGCTTCAAGACGGAGGGGAGAAGTCACTCTTGCTTTTGGCATCCCAGAGCATGAAAGGACTGACCGGGCTGAGCTCTGCGCTAAAACTGCCAGAGAAACTGACTAGAACCTGCACCCAGCAGCAGCCGCAGAAACAGAGGCTGACGAAGGGATGAGCTGGTTCCAGAGGCGCAGGGCGGGCATCGCTCCCTTGCCCAGCGCCACTTACCGTGAGCCACAAGCAAGAGGGTACAGAGCAGCCAGAACATGGTGGGCAGATGCTGAAGTAGGCTTTGCGGGGAGCGTTGTCCGGTATTTATAGCAAACGAGCCCTGGGCGAGATAGCAAAGCGCCTCTGACCTTGCCAAGTTATCGCTCAGTCGATAAAGAAAGAGGCCCTCTGAAAAAGACGCCTCTTGCCCCACGGCGAAGGGTCACGGTCCAGCTGCGGACTGCTCAGGGTCCCTGCAGCCCTCGAGAAAGGGGGAGACCCACAGCTGCTCCGGGTAGCCAAATGTTCAACAGGGCTGGGGAGCAGGACCAAGCTGACTTTGCATGTGGGGGTGCAAAGAGGGCCTGGGGGGAAGCTGGGCAGCCCCCCCAAATCCTCTTGGGCTCCCGGAGGCACCGCAGGCCTTTTCTTCCAAAATGGTGGGGCTGCAGAGGGAAAGCGAACCTGCCACTGGGGGGGACAAGGCCGGTGCCCAGCGATGCCAGCTCCTCGGGAGCCCCACACGCAGCCCCTGGTCTTGCCGGGCCTAGGCGGAGCCGCTCTGGGGCAAGATGGGGGCATGCAGCGGCCCCAGCTTCAGGGCCCAGAGGCTCCCCAGCCGTGGGAGAAGGAGCGGCTGCGTCGTCCGAAAGCCCAACCTGGCACAGCCGGTGGAAACTTCCATATTGCTGCGTCCTTCCGCAGCTGTCCCCCTTCCCACTGGAAGACAAGAAGGCAGGGGAGGGGCCTGGCTTGCTTAAGCACGGCTTGTGGAATAAGCCACAATTGCCTGGTGAAACCAAAGCACCTGCTTTATAGTTTAACCCAATGTACGAACCTGGCCAGAATGGCGCCCACTGCACAGCCCCCTCTACGCACCAGGCCCTGGACCACGGGAGACGATGCCACCTGTGCTCCTGGCGCACCAGGCTCGCTAGAACAAAATCTTACGGTTCGGTGGGCGGTCTGGTTCGCACCACCTCCGTAAGATGCTGAGGCACAAACCATGCTCTGTTTTGGCCCTGACTCCTGCCTTGTGTGAACACGACCAGCCTGAATTTCAAGGAATGGACTCCGTCCTGCGGGAGGTTAACCGATCCCGGGTAGTCCCCGGGGCAGCCCCGCGCATCAGACGAGCAACTGGGGTGGGTCTGAGTTGGACTGTCTGGCCTGAGCCCAACCGTTTGGCCGGCTCCATCGTCCGGCCTCTCCAGCAGATTGGAGAGGTTGCTCGAGTCAGTAAGCCCAGCCACAAGAAAGGCGCAAAGGTTCAACCCCACTTCCCAGTCCCGACCCCGCCAAGAAAGACAAGAGAGAGAACCTGGATATCACAATGAGCTTATGAAATATAGTTTTGTTTTAATAATATTTGGGTAAAAAAAATAAAATCATACCACTGAAATGGAGCAGCTTTTGAAACCAAAAGCAGCACCCCCCCAACCCGCAGATTTTAAACCCATCCACTGAGCAGACTGGAACGAGCGACTGAGGAGCCGAAGGGGAGATCTGGCGCAAGGCCCTTCCTGTCCCCGAGCCCCTCACACGGCCCCAGGAAAAAGCAGGCAAACTTTCAGGGGTGCTTCTTAGCCAAAAAACACAAGCCTGGCACGAAAGCAAGCAAGCGGCTCGAAAGCTTCCAGGGGGACAGAGGAAAACCGGCGGTGGAAAGCCCCTTGGGGGATAAACCTCCAGCCACAGTCAGACGGGGCCCTGCAAAGCACTAAGCCGGATCTGCTTGAATCATGGCTTGTTGGACAAGCCCCCACTGGACTAGCTCTTGCCCCACCCCAGGTTCTTGGCCACGTTTGGACTCACACATTGCATTAAGCAAACGTTTCGGAGGTTGGTTGCATAAGCCATAAACGGGGGTCTGCCTACAAAAGACCCCCTCGTGCGGAAGTCACCCCACTGGCCTTGAGGACAGCCCCTCCTACACACCTGGTGTCTCCCACTCTCCAGCCGTGCGGGACGATGAAAAGTGGAGGGAGTAAGACTGCCCCCTTCCCGGATACGTCGGTGGCGAGGGGGACCCTGATTGCACCACTACGAACGTCCTCTTTTTCGCTCTGGCTGGGGGTTGAATGAGATGACCTTAGCAACGATTTTAACCCAGTCCTGGCCGTTGCGGGAACAGACACGCTTTGGCCCAGCGCAACGTGTGAACCGAGGCACGCCGTGCAGCTCCAAGGACTGCGTTTACGCTATAAAGCAAGTTCAAATGGACGTGGTCCTGGAGATGGGCGCATCTGCCCCAAATCCGTTGGGAAAGGCCCATTCGGGACCCTCCCCGCTTTGTGCCTGCCATCAGAACGCTTCTATACAACAACACAGCTCCATAACTTGGGGATTACTGCCTGGATATAAACACACACGTACCACACACACACGCACAAACACACACCATAAATTGGCCTTGTCCCCCAGACGCGCCGGACTCCGGCTCCCCTCATCTCCTGCCGGGGAACAGCCAGAGCAAACTTCTGAACTCCAGAATCAACCAAGATCGAGGAGGGAAAAGAGAGCGGAGATCTGAAAGGAAGCCTGGAGGGGCTTCCATTCTCCCCCAAAGAAGGCCCCGCCCCGTGCCAGGGCCACGTCCCACAGAAGTGCAGCCACCACGGCCAGGCACCCCGGGAGCTGGAGCCTCAATGCCCACGGCGGGTGCCCACTTTGGAGAAAGCAGAATCCAAGCGCGATTTATTCAGCAGACGCTGCACACACAAAAATGGCATTTCTGCACAAGCAGCGGGGGGGGGGCGACCCGGCCCCGCT